CCTCTTGTCTTATCTTGCCAGTCTGTAATGGCTTGAGCCTAAGGAAACTTAGAGCAAATTAAGGGACTCACTAGAGGCCCGGCAGGCCCTGATCTCCAGAAAGATCCTTTGTGCGGCAGGAATACAGCTGGTTTGAGTTTGGCCACTCACTAACAGTTCACCATTGTGTGAACACTTGGGGGTTTCTTGTATGTGAGACTAGAGTGAAGAAAGGGGAGAGGCAGGGCGACTGTGGGCCACTGATGCTGGGAAATGACGTCCTGTGTCTACACAATGTGCAATTGGATTACTGTCTGCAAGAATTCTTCATCCACTCCTGCAGTAGTCAAGCCAAACCCACAATGACTTCCCTATGGACTCACAAAGCAATGGTTCCTTTCTCTCCTGTTTTTCGTCTATTATTATTTTTTTTTAATATAAACTCTACTATAATGGCGACAGATCTCACTTTACCACTTACATTTCATTTCAGGAGCTTGTAAGCACATTCAGGCTGAGGTTTTATAGAATCCACAATGGGGTAGGAATTGTCTCTCCCCTTCCCAAGCAATTGGCCTTTTCCTCCATGAGTTATGGATAGAGAGGGGCAGATAGAGAGAACAATATTCTAGGAGAAAGGAGGTGAGTCATGTTCTGGCAAGACTGAAGCAGGAGAGAATACACATTTCCCTTAGAAGTGTTTGTAGTAGGGTAATGAGGAGCCACAATGGTAACAGCCCACACACTTCAGCCAAAGTTCAATTTCTGGTTAATGTAAATGCCCCTTGGACTTGACTTCAAGAGATGCATATGCTTGAGGAAAATCTACACAAGTTCAGAGCAGGGACAAGTAGAAGAAGCTACTGGGGTGGAGGCTAGGAGATGGGCTAACTCTCTGGCTCACCTGGCCTGGGGCTTCTGAGTCTAGAAGGCTGCAGAAATGTGGCGTACACAGGAGCTGCATCCCTGGTGGTGTTCCTCACACCCACCTGCAGCATGTCCGCTCTGAGCCCCTCCATGGCAGATGCATATCTCTAGGAACCCTGTCTACCTTGAGCAGGCCTGGCACAGACCAGGTGCCATCCAAACTCTTCAATATGAAGCAGAGTGAACGCACATCCAAGTTTCACACTATGGTGCTGAGCCTGACACGTGTGAAGAGCAAAAAGTGAACTGGCACCTGTGTGTTTGATCTGAGGCAGTCCTCTATCTGTTCTTAGGCACTCGTAATCCCCAAGTTGAGATGAGACTCAGCTCCACTAGTAAGCATTGAGTTTTTCCTTCCTCCACACCACTTTAGGTAGCCTCTTGGATTCCAAAGCACAGATCTGACTCACTACTCATGTTTCATTTGTTTGGAGGTCACAGAGCCTGAGAGTCCCCTGGTGAATATCCACCTGACACATGATGTTTTCTTACTCCCTGTCCAGCCAGGCTGTGCTCCTGCAGTGACAGGAAATTGGCTGTCTTGCTCTGGAGACTGAAAATTGGGGCAGCACCTCCAACCACTGACCAGTGGAAGGGTCTGGTAGTGTCAGGTGTGGCTGTCAGTGTCCTGTGTTAGCCTGACCAGGCTTCAGCTCCAATAACTTCATTAAACACTAATCAAGGTATTGCTGTGAAGGTATTTTGTAGATATGGCTAACATCTACAATTGAGCGACCTTGGCTAAAAGAGATTGCCTTGCACAATGTAACTGATTCTCATCTATTAGTTGAAAGCCTTAAGAAAAAAGCTGAGGTTTCCCAGAGAAGAAATTCTGCATCAAGGTTGAATCAAAGAAATCCTGCCTGAGTTTCCAGCCTGCCTGTCTGTCCTATATATTTCTGACTTCCCAGCCCCCATAACAGTATGATCCAATTCTTTAAAATAAATCTTTTAAAATATTAAAATAGCTTATAGTTTCTACTTCTCTCGAGAACTCAGCCAATACCAGGTCAGGTCCCCATTAAACTCCAGCAGGCACACCCAGCTCTTGGAAAGAGGGATGTGAGCACTCCACAAGGAGACTTCGAAAAGTTTATGAAAACCCAATTAAGGAATGAGCTTATTTTTGGTGCAAAACACTTTGAAATCCATGCATAATTTTTCATAATATGTAACTTCCTTGATCTTTTTGAAGACTCTTTGTATTTTTCTCTTGTACAAAGAGGATTAATTCCTGCCTCCCATCTCCCTGGAATGTTCTTGGGAATGGGGAATAATGACGCTTGGCGATGGTTGACATCTATATCATTATCAGATGCCACAAAACTTAGAAGTCTTCTGGAGCAAATGTTCCTCTCCTTTCAATTTCACACCAGGCCTGCAATCTTTCATCAAGGAAGCATGCGGACCTGGGTGAGAGACTGGGATGCAACTACCAAAGGAGATCACAGGCTCACACCAAGGAGCATGATGTTTGTGCTTTCCCACAAACAATACCAATTTGATTTGCTTTTATTTTATTTGACTTTGTTTTTTTTTAATTTTCTAGAGTATATGAACTCACAGAAAGAAACAGAGAGAAAGGAAGACTGAGAAATAAAGAGAGAAAGCATCCCCCATGGAGAATGCACACACTGCAATCCCTTTTCCTCCATCTCTTCTTCTTTGGGGGATTTTAAGCATGCACACACAGTGCCTGGCATATTTTTCAAGCTGCCAAGTCTGAGATTCGAACAGCACAGTCAGCCCTGTGGTATCCAGCTGCCTTAATCACCATTCTACCAGCTGGCCCAATTTGACTTGATTTGATTTGATTTAAATTCCAGAGTAGCACTGTGAGAAGAGACACATTTGTTTGTTCAACATTATTCTCACTTCCGCACTCAGTCTCCTTTTGAAGCTTTCTGAGTTCAAACTGGTTTTCCCAGAGCTGACCCAGGCTGGACTCTAAATAAGGGCCAGGGCATAGCTCTCTCTGCTTATTGCAGGTTGGAAATAATTGCAGTGCCCCCTTGCCCAAGGTGTTTGCTCTCTCTCTCACACACACATCACACCACAATCTCTCTATGTCTCTCTCTCACAGACAAACTGTCTCTCTCTCTCTCAGATACATACACAATCTCTTCTCATCCACATGTGCACACATTGTCTCACACACAACCTCTTTCTCACACATGCAGATATGTAGATACATAATCTCTCTCTCTCTCACACACACACACACACACATGCTCATGCACACAGATGTATTTCATGTAGGCAGAAATCAGTCTTGGGAGGAGAAATGCTTTGAAATGTTCACCTTGTTCTTATCACTCCCACCATGGCCATGTGGGCATGTATAGGATCAGGACTCCATCCAAAATAGAATGCATTCCCTGTTTCCACCACAGCCTCCTACAAAACACTGTTGTTGCATTTCACACAACATGACTACACTGCATTCTTCTACATCTCAGAAATACATACAGTTAATGATCCATGAAAACATTCTATCAAATGAGTAGGATTTACAGGTAACATATTTGCATACAATTATTAACTTCCCTTGGCTTTGGTATCCTGGACCCTAAAACTGCATTTTCTACTGAGGTCCTTTTGGAATTCCAGAAATATCCAAGATGGGGATGTCTTGAATTCCACTTAAAGGACCTGTGTTATAGCACTATTCAACATAAGTTATTCACATTTTTAAAATAAACTAGGTGCACAGAGGTAAACTACATCTCAGAGTCAAGGAAACTTTTGGCACCTCCCATCTTGGCACATCCAGCCTCACCACTGACGTGCCCGCTAAGGCACTGCGCGTTGGCACCTTCATTAACGCCACACTAGGAGCTGACGCAATGGTTTCCAGCACTTGTAAAACATGACACTTATAATAGACATATTTAGCATTAAAGCACATATGTAACAGAAAGGCCCTATTCTAGCTGCAATCGAGTGGAAAATGCTCTGGGTATGGAGTCAAATACCCCTGGTATGAATCCAAATTCTGAGTCCTTTCAAGTGGTGATTGGGGTTAGTTGGAAAATGCCTGATCATAGAGGAATTTCTCCTCTATCAAGTGGCCACCAGCATTTCTCACAGGTTGCTTGGAGGGCTAATGGACTATTGAATATAAAAGGGCTACAGAGTAATACGCTGTGTACAGTGAATGTATAAAACTGTGTGGACTTCTTGTGGCTCTATAGCAGATTATGCAACATTTATCCTTTCTTTATCCTGATATTTTATGTGATTTTTATTCTTGCATATATACGGGGTATTATATTATAATTAAAGTTAATTTTACTTTTCAAAACAACATCTAATAATACCAAAGACTAAGGGAAGGGAGTGGGCGGTAGAAGGTGGCTGGAAGGAGTAACTGGAAGAAATATTTAACAGACAAAAGAATGTAAAGTTCTCTGTTGGAAAAAAAAAAAAGGATCTGTAATTTTTTATTTATAAAAATAAAAATTGTCAAACAAAAAAGAAATGTTTTTGAGTGCTGAGGACAGTTCTGCATTTGATAATACATCCACACGACAGCTGCTTTTTCGTGACAAACTCCGGCAAGTTAATAATTATGGGGGACATTGGAGCTTGACTAGAAGTGTAAGATGAGAAAAAACAGCATTCATTGAGAAAAGGGGACAGCAGGGTAAGAGTGCAAGTCAGGGTGGACAGCGTACAAAGTAGATTTGTTAACAAAGTCAAAATGACTTGGACATACGCTACACTGCCTGGCCACTAGCTGACACTCTCCCTCCATAAAACCATAAGACAGCCTTATTTTCCAGGCTATAAAACCTCAGAAATGAAGTCTGCCATATGTGGGCAAGACCCCCCTCCTGTGGAGCCCTCATGCCTGGGAAATGGAATTGAACACCACATCTTCAAAGAGAGTTCTTGGTAAATATACTACCGGTTTTACAACCTCTATCCTCTATACAAACCACTGGAGAACACATTTTCTCAGCTCTGCCCAATGTGACCGCTCAATGGCCTCATTTTCTGAAACAATCTTCAGAGAAGTGTGACTAACTTCCACTCTGCCTTGTCAAGGGATAGGAAAACAGAGGTCAGGGAGGACAAAGTAGTCTCCTTACCTTGAGCCATTCACCTGGCTAGGGTTGCATTCCATCTTGATGGTGACCCTGGCTGGGGGTTGAGACAGCCAGTCCTGCTGAGGGACACGGGGGCTCATCTTGGATGTCTGTCCATAGTCGCTAGAGGAGGACGCAGTCATCTCCGTCTTAGCCAGATGTGGTGTTCCGTAGGCGCACTCAAACAATGACTGATCCTCACTCACAACTGATAATGCTTCCTGGACGCCAAAAGAAACATATATTCAGGATACTCCAAAGGACAGCCATGTTTGCAAAGTTACTGATGTCAGAGTCATTTCTAACTGGGACTAGATTTTAGGTAGTTTTTAAAGATACCTATTTCTACCTCCCCTCCCCCAAAAAAGCACCTTGTTTTCCTCCCTCCAGACCATAAGAGTTAGAAATGGCTGGACCTTAAGAGTTAGAAAAACTTTATGCAGGTCTCAAAGCATCCCAAGCTTGACTGCAGCAGGGAAGATAATACCCACTTTAATCTCAACTTAAGGAAGCTGAATTCAAAGGTCTTAGAAGACATCTAATTTCATGTGTCATTATTTGACAAATGCAATCTATAATTCAAGTAGGCAGGGTACAGAACGGTCATGAAGATTAAAAAAGAAATGTGAAGGCTAACACCTAAGCATCTGGCAAAACTGCCACATTCCCAGGAGACTTTAAGGAAGAGGTACTTAGGAGAGTGAGGGGGAAGGACAACCAGACAAAGATTCAAACTTTTCCATTCTCAGATATTAGCTGAAATAGAGTTTCAAGTGAAGCTTCCATGATGGTGAACATCTGGATGATAAATGAACAAAAAAAAAAGTTGTGAATTATCCAGATGCCTCCAAATACCAGAATGTTTAAAATATCTGCAGTCACTGACTAGCTTGTTTTATTCTTTACTTTCGAATAATATATTTGCTCTTTTGTATGATTCAGTGAGAAGAAACAGAAATTTGTCCTTTTTCACCTATTTGAATGATATATTGTGAAACGACTATCCAGAGTAACTTGTTTTCTGTAACAGAAAGAAGATCCATGTGAGAACTCATTTTTATTTCAGTTCTTTGACATACTTGGTATTGCTGTCAAATAATGAAAAATGAACACTCATTTATTGTTCAATAAATGGAACTTTGGATCTGGGGTGTGGGAGACTGTGTAGACCTTCTAGTCCAAAGTTCTTATCTCCAAATGAGAAATCTGAGATTCAGACAGGTCCAGACCTGCAAGCTGGCCAAGGTCAGCCAGAAAATTAGTGATGGGACTGACTTGTGTTATAATCTGCCCCTCTTTGTCCTTACAGACCTAGATATAAATATAGATATAGATATAGGCACACACATATATCTGTATATATATACATATATATTTATTGTATATACAGATATATGTGAGTGTATATAAAATATACTGGATTGTATGTCTGTATACAGAATATATTGGATTGTGTGTATGTGTGTGTATATATATATATATGTATATATATATATATATACTATATATGAAAAAAAAATATGGGGTATATGTTTAAATTAACATTCCTTTTGTTCTTTGACTTGACATTTAAATATTTAATTTGTAATAAATATATATGTATGAATAAATAAATACATGTGCATTTAATATTTAATAAATATATATGTATGTATATACAGATATATGTTACATATATCTGTGTGTGTGTGTGTGTGTGTACGTTCTGGAGTGAACTCCTTTCCTTCTTAGAAGAATCAGAATTGCTAGGACACCTCTCCCAATTTAGTGTGTCTTTGCAGTTATGCCCACACCTACCCCAGGACCAAACTTTTCCCTAGCTCCTCAGGTACACAAACTTCTGTATCTGATCCCCTGCACTATGAATCAGTGAAAAGGAAGAATTGAAAGGACCAAACTCAACACTTTGGCTCCCAGAGCGGCAGTCAGGTGTCTGCATGTGTAAGCCCCAATCCTCAACTTCTTTAGAGTACCTAGAATTACAACCCTATGTGGCACTTCATTAAAGACTAAACTGAGAGCTTAAACAGTAATGCAAAGTGCAAGAAAGGGCGTGGGCCGGTCAGAGAGCCAGGCTCAGGCACAAGGAAAATAAGTGTATGAGGCATCTTGAATAGGCAACAAAATCTAACACATCGGCAAACAGAAAAAAATGTGAGTAAGCAACACAGGAATTGAGTGTGTAGAAGCAGGCATCCCAGTGTAGGGGAGCCTGAATTTTTTGGCCATCTCGCTGGTCACACCAGAGTGAACAAATCTCAGGTCTAAATGTAGGTGTGGGCTTAACACTAAAATCAGCAGCATGGACCTAGGGCAGTCACGGTAAATAATGTAGACAGAAATGATTGCTTCTTAAATAATTTTTGCAGAACAGATACTCCCTTGCCATAACATTGAGCACAACAGTTCTATATATTCAGGACAGAAAAAAAGGTTGATGGCTGCACCACAGCTTCTTCCTGGACCTACAGACTTGACCGTGGCTTAGAGGGGAATAACACACTGAGTAATGTTAGCTTTGGCTCACCAATGCCAAGAAATATGAATAAATGTGTGATTTACATCAGAAATCGGGAAAAACAGGTTCCATATAAGAGACAGGCAAAATTTTAAGTTACAAACTTTTTTGTTGATGTCAATAAAAAGTAATAACTTAAAATATTAGTATAATGATATTCTTAAAAACAAGGCCAATGACCAAGTAAATGTAGCATAAGAAAAAGGAAAACAAAACATTAAAACTAAAATGAGGTTTGAATGTGTGTTTGTAGGAGGAGGAATCCGTGCTCACATCTGGCAAAGCATGATTTCAACACATGGTCTTCTAAAGAAAAAAAATCAAAGTTAATTGAGATCAATTTGGGGGGAAGAAAAACCCTGCAAAGCTAGTGATAAGAGAGGCACACATCCTGTCTTCATATCTTAAAATTCTTCTCAAAGTTAGAGAAGAAAATGAGAAAAGTGATGATATCCAGAATAACAAAAGCAACCACGCAGTTGCTTTTGTTCTTTAGAGAGGAAGGTTCTAAAAATGAGGAAGCTTCAGGATAAACATTTCAAAAGGAGTGAAATATAGTCCCCCATGCTGAACAGATAGAGCAATCAAAAAAAAAAAAAAAGGCCCTAAAATAAATGATTCCAACTAAACAAAGGCTGCTGAATACCTGTAATTAAGTGCAGCTTTGGAAAAGAAAACAAACAAATAAATCACATGTACACACACATACACACTAGTCAATCATTTTAACAATGGCAGTTTAGGTTAAAAAGAAACTGTAGTTTTCAGAGACCTACTTCAACAGGAATGATCACTAAAGTTACTGCTATTCTTCAAAAGAAAATCCAGCTACAGACCCACAGTGTATTTGTTTTGTTGCTTGACTTAGCTTTATATAGGTTTCTTCATCCCTTTGGTTAAAATATGAATGACAAAGGCTAGTCCCAACAGCCCTGGGACTTCAAAAGGAGAGAGGCTCTAGCCCGATAGCATTAAAACCAGAAAGGAATACTGAACACAGGCTGGTAACCAGAAACACATGAGTCTGTGACTCCAGTTCTGGTTTCCCTCCTTGTCACATAGTGATCCAGCCTCCCTACCTACTACTTACCTGCCTACCTACCCACAGTGTCATCAGTGCCCAAGTTAACATACCCAGGTTATTCTTTCAGAACCATCAGCAAGCTATTCTGGCTGCTCTATAACACAGCATTTGAAAAATGTTAAAACCTGACATAAATGTGGCATAATAATTTAATATGCCTGCCTGTATGTTACTATAAAAAGACCTGAACTTTAGAGTGGAGTGTACCAGGATGGGGCTGTTTTTCTGTAGCTCCAGGAAAGCTGGGATAGTATGATGTGGCAAGTGGCAGTCTACCAAGGCCATTTTTTTTTTTATGAACTTAAGAGAAACACATAAATTCTAAGCAAATTGCCCCCAAACAAAAGGTACTGCTGTGTTAGTACCATGATGTTTATTACTGCATTTCTGTACTGAATGCATCAGAACCCTACAAGGGCCCTTCCTTTGGATTCGGATCACAGGTTAACAGTTCACCTGTAGTTCCAGAAGGGCAGTAGGATGTAGGCAGATTATATTTCATATATTCCAATCCTAAAATGTCTGTCTGTTTTCAACTAAATTTGGTTATAACAAAGGATTCAAAATACTTAGATTAAGAAGTTAGAACAGAAAAATTTTAAAGTTTAATGGTCTTTGAATGCATACTAACATTTTCAACAAAAGACTCCAAAGATCCTGACACCATTTTGTAACAGATTAATGTTTTTGAGAGACTCTTATATTCAGGTAAAAAAGTTAGAAAATGAAGTCTAAGTTTTGATCCAAATTTGCTTCCAATCTGTGATCTCCAATGTTCATAAAAATTCTATATTGTTAATGCAGAGACTACAACATATTACATGTTCTTAAAAATCTGTAGTAAAGTGTTAAACTGAGAACATTTTAAGAATGGCCAGCTCTTCCACAGCTGGAGCAAATGAGAGTGCAGAGTGAAATGGTCTTTCTATGGTTTTGAAAAATTAGGAGATGGCCCAACTAGGCCTCTGAAGAACTGGATATCTAAATTTATCTTCAGTTTCCTCAAGTCTTTCTATGTAGTATAATTATTTGATAATTATGAAAAACAAATGGAAAAATTAAGTAGAACAAGCATTTTAAGATCATGGTCACACTTCAGAAAAAAATCTTGAAGAAGTCCCTGCTATCACAATACAGTGTGAGAACTGGCCACTTCAGTAAGCCAGGATGATAGTTGAGTGGCTTTAGAAAAAAAGAAGGATTAAGGGAGATTACATGGAGAACTCCATCATGTCCTGTCTTGTCATGGCTGCAGAAACAGCCAAACTGTTTCCACAGATCAAAGATGGAACCACCTAGAAAGAGAGACACTGGTATTGGAAAGAAGCTAAAGAATGATGAGGAGATAAACACTCAGAATCCTAGGGTTTAGGATGAAATAGAGGATCAAGGGAATAAGTGGAATCTGTTGGAAACCAGTAAGTAAACCCCTCTAAGTACACATGCTTTTTAATAAGCCTACAGGACTTGTTGCAATTGGTTGCAGTTACATTAACTGATATCTTACAATATGGTTTAAATCAACAAGTCTATTATTTTTTTCTTTTCTTTTTTTTTTTTTTTGATAGTTTTTCGCTATAGGGCACGTGCACTAGCCAGACAGACAGAGAGAGACAGAG